GGATTTCAGCTGTTTCTTGAAGGACCCTAAGGAAGTCAGGAGGCAGAGGTGAGGGGAGAGAGTGTTCCTAGCATGAGGCAAAGCCAGGGAAATGACCCAGAGGCAGGAAATATCTTAGTTAAAATATCCAAGGTTGAGCCAATTCATTCTGAAGAATCCAGAATCAACTGGTTTCTAAGCTAGGCAATGTTGTAGCTGCCTCTAGATTTGGGCTAAATGAAATAGAAGGCAAACATTTTTAACAGCAATACAAAATAAGACTCTCAGATACTAATAAGATAGGTCTGGGATCTCATCATTCACAGGTCCCTCCACTGAGGCAGATTGCAGCCTCTCCTTCCCTTCCTATTCTCTGTGACTCTGGTCTGTGTTCTATAAATATAATGTAGAGCACCTGGATCAAATGCTGGGGGTGGGGAGGACCTCCAAAAGAGGTCATGAGAAATCAATCAATCATGAAGGGACTCATTGGATTGACCTGTCCCAGGCACTGAGCCTGGGGTTTGTTCTGAGGCTACATCCCCTCCTGGCAAGAAATTCACATTCTAATGGGAGGGGCAATAAGGACACGTTGGTGTACACATACACACGTGCACAAACACTTACACACCTACACGTACATTCATGTATACATGCACACATGTGTCGTGTCTGTGTAGCCAGACTAAATAAAGTTAATAAATACAAGAGAAATGCAAAGGGCTTTGTGAAATTAGGAGCATGGAAGTCATTAGCAACTGGGAAGAGACAAGAGAAGCTGTGTGAAGGACGCAGCACGTGATCTGGGTCTTAAAAGGGAGGAGGGATCCCAAGGGGTGGCAGGGGCATGCTGTTGGGAGGAATAAGGATGGACATGGATGCATGGAAGCATGGGTCCTGGGCAACGGATGGTGAGTAGCCCGGTCAGAAAGCAACAAGAGCTAACTTTGCTGAAGTTCTTTCTCCACTAGCTGAGTCCTCCTCGGGTCCAAAGACCCCTCCTGGGTTGTGAACACAACTTTTCAATGGATTCCTCCCTTTCAGTGTATCCTCCTCAATTACCTCCCTCCCAATTATCCCATTTCCCTCCTCTATCAACAACCCACCCCTAATTGCTTTTAAACATTCTGCTGGCAAGTTTCCTGTGTGTTTTGGTTATTCAGCAGATGCTTCAACAGCTAATAAAGGAAGAAGGCTTTTCTATCTCTATTATGGCACGGTGTCCTGATGAGTGGGCCTCTGGCTATGTCTTTCTGAAGGCTTTGGCTGCAACCTTATGGGTGGGGTGGGGAGTCTGGACACTTGTAAATAGCTGTATGTTAACTGCTTACTACCCAACAGGAAAGACCTCAGAACTCAGTAGGTTCAACTTCCTCGTTTCTCTGAAGAAGACTGAGGCCCAGAGAAGGCAATGACTTGCTTATAATCACATTGGTAGTAACTGGAAAGACTAGGACTTGAACCCAGCTCCTTTGTCTCCAATCCAGGCACAAAGCATGGGAGAAATGCAGGAGGCCTTTGGCTGTCTCCCCCCTCCCACCCCTCAATTGCTATTACCTTCTATTTACATTTTATATATGATGTAGGTACATATTCATTTGCACATTGTCTCCCACATCAGAATATGAGCTCCCTGAGGGCAGGCACCATGTTTTTGCCTTTCTTTGTATCCCAGGTGCTTAACACTGGGCCGTAGTAAATTCTTGTTGATAATGTTTGACTGACTAGAAATGCTAAAGTTGAAACCAAGAACATTATGGTTGGAGGATCAGGAATGGAAGGGAGGATGAGCTAGAGCTTGTCTAGTTCAACCTGAGGTAGCTGAGGCTCATGCTACAGATGCAGATAGTGGCTGAGTTAGGATGGAAAGCTCACTGCCCTGGTACCTAACCCTGTGTTTCCTGTCCCGTCAGCACCTTGGAGAGCTCACCTTCATTGGGGCTGGCTCTCTGACTGTGACTAGTATGATGCAGTAGAAAGAAGCAATCAGATGGCCCGCATTCAAATCCTACCCCTGCCTCTCACTACCCAGGTGACCTTGAGTGAGGCTCCTCAGTTTCCTCAGGTTAAATGAGGGAGTTGAAGTAGACTGCCTTGGAGGATCCTTCTGGAGTTGCTTTAATAGACAAATTTGTTGAACAGACATTTGTTAAGTACTTATTACAATCTGGAGTGAGCACTGAGGATATCAATGGAAGAGTGAGACAGTCCATGCTCTTAAGGGGCTCCCCTGTAGAACTTTCCAAAGTGGCCTGAGGACATTGCCATGTAACTTACCCTTGCTCGCCTGGCTAATGCCACCAGAGATGGGACTGGAACTCAGGTCTTTGCCAACTCCAGAACCAGCCTTGTGTCCCTTGAGCCTTTCACACAGAGTAGGCAAAAAATAAATAGTTGTTGAGTTTGCATCTTAAAAGTCACACTCAGTAGCTTATTCACCCAGATGAAGACAATTCTTCTCATGAGATCTTAGACCTAAAACTGAAAGGGACCTCAGAAAACACTGGCTCCAACTGTCTCATTTTACAGTTGAGGAAACAGAGACTCAGGGAGGTTGTGTTTTTCCCAAGGTCACAGATACTTAACTAGTACACTATGCTGAAAAATCTGGATAGAAACTGAGGGAAAAGCCAGTAGATGTTTTACCCGCACAGTGCCATACATACAACCAGGTCTCCACCCGGAGAACGCACACAGTGCACACACAGTGAAAGGTAAGACAGGATTATAGCTAATGGACAATCCTGATTGTCCTGCCAAGAGGCAGGGGCTGGAAAACCCACTCTGAGTGTTCAGGGTGTCCTTGGATTGCTTGGAATATAAAGGATTCTTTCTCTTTCTTTTCCCCCCCTTTCCCTGGTCATGAAAAGGGAGAATCTTACCTTCTGAAGGCTATAAATTTCTAAATGCAGAAGTTTAAACATGAAGGGAGAAGTTTTCCATCACTTATGTTCAATCTGGCATGGTTTAAAAAAAAACAAACTAGGGGTGGGAAACCTGTGGCATTATGGCCTGGAGGCTGCAGGTTCCCCACCCCTGACTCAAACTGTCCCCAGACTCCTGAATTCACTCAACATTGGTTAAGGATCACTTAGCAGTATAGCCAGAGAGACAGAGGGATGCAGTTGGAGACAGGAAGATTGTTATCAAAGGCTTGTTTCTGACAAATCACAACTGTGTTACCATGGACCAGTCACTTAACTTTTCATTGGTCCCAGACAACTTCCTAAGGCTTTGACTTACAGATGATTTACTGATCTGCATTGGGGAATTCCCAACAATGTTGAAATCATAGGCAGAGCCATCCGCATGGCCCAGAGTATAGAGAACTGGATTTTGAAGCAGGAAGATGAGTTCAAATCCTTCCTCATACACTCGCTTTGTGACCCTGGGCAAGTCACTTAATCTCAGCCTCAATTTCCTCATCTATAAAATGAAGATAATAATATCATCTACTTCCCAAGGTTGTTCTGGGCAGTATAAAGCACATTGCAAACCTTATGGCACCATCAAAATGTTACTTATTGTTATGCTAGATTCTAAGAGAAATGCACAAATAAAGACACATTCTTGGAATTTCTAGCTTCCTTCCAGATCAGTTCAAGAATAGCTCCTTTCTCCATGAGACCATTCTTAGTCTTCTCCACTGCAGGTGGGCAGGCATCCTTCCTCATCACCTCATAGCACATTTGGACAGGTTTTCTATGCACATGTATGTGTGCATAAACATATGTACAAACATAAATATACATAAATGCATCTATACAGACACATCTACATATATTTGCTGTCTTCTCTTGTCTCTCTCTTGATAGAATGGAAACTCCCTGAGAGCAAACGATATTTCAATTCTGCCTTTGTGTTTATAGTCAAGGCAACAATCATTTATTAAGCACCTACTACATTCTAGGCACTATGCTAAGTATTAGAGATAAAAGAAAAGAAAAAGACACGTCCTGCTCTTGGGGAGCTCATGTTCTAATGGGGAGACATGCAAACAAATATGTACAAATACCAACTATCTACACATATATAACCTATGTATGTACACATTGGTTATATAGGTATCTATAAAATATCAAACATATGTGCACCTATTTGTAAGATATATGCAAGGTAAATTGCGGCTCATTTCAGTGGGAAGACACTAGCACTTCTAATATGGTACCTATCGCCTAGTAGGTGCTCACTAAACACTCACTGATTGGTGAATCTATTGATTCCCTTAGCTTGTGAAGTTTTCAATCTTCTGAGCAAAGGGGGAAGGAATAGGACATGTATCATCATGAACACAGACCCCTCCAGCATGATAAACAGCAACTCCTCTATAATTCACAGTCTCTAGAGCATTCTCTGCGACTCAGGTTGAGTGACTTCCTCTGTTGTCACACATCTAGTAACCATAAGAGGAGAGATTTTAAGCCAGGCCTTTCTGACTTCAAGGCTGTCTCTGGACTGGTCACACTACACTACCTAGTACAGGGAAATAGAATTCAAAACAGAACCTGTGACTACATTAAGGGAGGTCCAAAAAGAGTACTGACCATGACTGGTCTGAGGAAGGCTTTTCTGTGGAAGGGAGACAGGCAAGCTGATGGCTTGGCCTTTAACCTTGACGTAGGCCTGGAGGACTTTGGCAAATCAAGCATCATGTAAACTGCACTCATCTGTGTCTTTCAGACATAGTGGAAATAAATGATGCCTCACCTGAAGGCCCAGGATTTTTCGACTTCAGATATTTGCCATATGGCATCTCTTCTGTACATCCTAGCTTCAGGGCTCGCCATGGTAACAAGAGGTATCTTATGAATGATTCCAAAATTGTTAAGAATGACTGTCTGTCACTGACGGATTGTCAGACATCTCACTGCTTGGTCCAGAAAGGACATGTTGTCATTTTGATCAAGTGTCAATGATTTCTCACCAACATGTGTTTTGTGTGTGTGTTGTCTCATGTACGTGTGTGTGTTGTGTGTTTGTTTTGTTCTGTGTACGTGTGTGTGTTTCTTTTCTTTTTCCAGAGTCCAGTCAGGTACTTATCTCAGCACTGGTTGGTTTACCTTAATCCTGGCAATGGATGCCTGTTATGGCATTCATGTCTACGGCATGATTAATGACACCTACTGCAAGTAAGATCCCTGGAAATCATTTTTGTGTGTCTCTTGTTCAAATCTCTTGTCAAAGTTTTCTAATTCATTTTCTTGTCATAAATCCATGGAATGGATGAGGTAGTGATCTGTTGCCACCCTGGTCTGTGGTGATGGAACACTACAAGACCACTATAAGAGAAGTAAGGTGCCACAGGAGAGAAAATGCTGACCCTGCACTCTGAAGACCTGGTTCAAATCCTGCTTCAAATGCTAATGGCCTGTGTGACCTTGGGAAAACACCAGCCCTGGGCCTTAGTTCCTTCTCTCTAAAATGGAGGCCAGACTTAATGGTCACTGAGATCCCTGGCAGCTCCAAAACCCTCTGCCATTGACTTCCTGGATTCCCCAACCCTTCCCAAGTCACTTCTTTTCTCCGGGCCTCAGTTTCCAACTCTGTTAAATGAAGGGCTGGACAAGATGAACTTGGTCTCTGTTAGCCCCAAATCTGGACTCCTACTTCTTTCTGGACCTTATTTGTCTGGACTTGTGATTCCTCTACCAATGAAGAGAAGTAAAATTCTATGATGGTCTAGAGAGCTGTTGGGGATCCTGGGGGTTGAAAGGGACTCGTTCAGCTTCTGAGTCAGAGGATCAAGAAGATACCTCCAAGGCTTGCTTGTTCAACCCCCTCATTTTGCAGATGAGGAAACTGAACCCCAGCTGGATGGTGACTAGCTCAAAGTCCCACAGGTCAGAGGTGGAACTTGAACCCAGGTCTTCCAGCTCCAGAGCCAGAGTTTTTTCATGGTGCCACCCATGCTATTACTGTACGCCAGGGCCACCCCGAGGCCAGCTCTCTGTCTCCTCTTCTGTACCACCTTCCTTCAGTCACAGAGTTGGTTTACAAAGCCAAACCAAACCCAACAAGGCGAGGGAATCAACCACACTGGATTGTCAAGAGGCCCAGAACTTTCTTTCTTTTTTTTTTTTTAATCAAGAACTGTTCAGGAACTTGGGTTTAGGCAATTCAGTGGCTATTTAACGGGCAAAGCGAGTCCAAGTTTCATCATGTCTCTGGGCTCTGAGGGCTCTGTAGATGGCTATCTCCTCTGTGCTTGTATTCGATCACAAAGGACAGAATGTCCTAGAGCCTCTGATAAAGCTGACAGCTTAACCACAGCTCCTGGAAATTATGTTTCACGAATAAGTAAGCAACCTGCCAGCTCTTTATTTAAAATGAGCACGCTTAGCCACACTATATCCTCACTTGTGGGGTCCTATTTAATTAGATAATAAAACAAATCCTTCCCATTTTATCAGGGAAATGGAATACATATACACACACATATATGTGTGAACATGTATGGCATATAAGATATAGTATATATGTGTGCATATACATGTATGTATGTATGCATATATATGTATAATTTGTATAATTTTGAGATACCCGTAAGTGGCATAATCTAAAGGAAATGAATTTCAATCAGACTGTCAAAAACAAACAAATCCAGCAACTCTCAACTGGGGTCTTGGGACCTAGTATCTCCATCCCTGTTAAAAACAGAGAGGAGCCAAATCCCGCGAAGTGCAAACCCCTGGAGCTTATTCAAGCTCTATACAATAGCTCAGCTAACTGAATGGTGAGGTTTCCATCAGGCATCACCTCCTCCTGAAAGGATGACTATATGTTTGAATTTAATTGGGATGATGTGTAAATGTCATTTGAATTCTTTCAAGCACGAAGGCTTAGGACATTAGCTAAAAGCTTCCATACCTAATAGCTTTTAACTGAGTTCATGGATGAGAACCATGCATGGGTTTGCAAATCAGCACATTTATTGAATATATAATGGATTCTTTTAAGAGAATGCTTTCTTCCTCATTTCCTCTCTCTCTCTCTCTCTCTCTCTCTCTCTCTCTCTCTCTCTCTCTCTCTCTCTCTCTTTCAGGTCAGAAGGTTTTAGAAAAGTCCCCTACCATTACTACGAGCCAGGAAGAGATGAATGCGATGAATATGTTCTCCATGAAAACGCTCCATATGGAGGCCACAGGTTTATCACGGAAAAGAAAGTGTTTGCCAAGTGGGCCAAGAAGCACAAGATCATATTTACACACCCCAACTGGACAGTGTCTTGATGCTGGTCCACCTCACCAGTACAAACCAGCATGAAAGAATGACGATGCCTCAGCTCTGATGATGATAATGATGCTCAAGTAGTTGATTTATTCTTGTACTTAAATGGGCCCTTCTCAGTGATTGATCGATTTGGGGATCCATTTGGGGTTGGCCAGGGGATTGGGGGCAGTGTTTTGTTTTCTCTTGTAGAGTTCTACACTCCACATTGCACTTTTACAATTTAACTGGAATCAAATCCAAGGTCAATGGAACTCATCTGACGGCAGTGACCTAAGAGATGGAAAGGGTACCTTCAAGGTAGTAGCACCACACTCTAGGGGTACCTTCTGAAAGCCATGGTAGTTGTCCCTCAGAAAGAGGCTCACCAAAACAGTCAAAGCTGTTGATGCCCTTTCCAATTGACTATTCCTCCCATCTTGAAGGTGAGTTATTCATAAAAGGCTGGGCCTAGGCAAGGTGCCTGGCTCCACGAGTCTAACCATGCTAGCTGATTCACCTAGAGAAGCATGGGAAGGGCATTATGCTCACATTACGTTTTCCCAGAGTAAAATCTTTTAACATATTCCCCTGATAATTGACAAACTAAGCATTGCAGGGAAGAGAAAGGACCCACAAGGAACCTAGGAGTCCAGGAACACTAGTCCACCTCTAAGACATTCCAGAAAAACAATTGCTGAGTATAAAACCTCATTAGTCTTAAACTGCAGCTGCTCTATTCTTGCTAGCCAAACCACAGAACTTAACCCACTTCTTTAGAATGATCTAAACAAATCCTTCAGCCCTTTTTTTATTGAGAAGCAAACATCTAGAGGGGATGTTTTAACACCAGGAATGTCGACTGCAACATCGTAGTAACAAATACTGTGAAAACTTGTGAGACATGCTTTAACATCACCCAAGTGGTTGACTAACCCTGCTTAAACATGCAATGAGAAAAACTCAATTTTATATGCTTTTTAAACTCATGGAACATAGAAAGCCGAACATATTTTTACATAGATTTGTAGGCTATCATACTTCATAATGTATATTTGTATATTCCAATTTATATTTGATATGCCCAAGATTTTTCTCCCTCTCCCTCCCCTCTTTCCTTCCCTCCCTCCTCTCTCTCTCTCTTTCTCTCTCTCTCTCTCTCATCTCCTTCCCCCCCCACACATGTATGTATGTATGTGTGAGCATCTTTATCAAGTACCAAGCACCACCATCATCCTTGGGAAGGGCACGATTCCTTGGATTACTTTTCACCACCACCTGATTTTTACCAACTCAGGGCTGCCATAGCCCCCCACCTCCCTTGCTCCATGAGTTTCACAAGGACTCTGTATGCTGTAGTTCTATCATGGAGGAATCTCTTGACCAGATGGCATCTCTTCTCGCTTAGTATTTTTGTAACACATTTCATCTTATTTTCTTTATTGGAGCAGAGATTGATTACTTTCTCTGCTGTGCAGGGTGCTTTCATCAAAATCTAAAACTGAACAGGACTTTAGACATTATCTATTCCAATCCCCTCATTTTACAGATAAGCAAATTGTGGCCCAGAGAAGAAATTAAATGGCACATCTAGGGTCACACAAATAGTAAATAGCAGAGCCGGGATTTGAACCCAGGCCTTCTGATTCCAAATCCAACACTTTCCCATGATTCTGTGCTGTCTCAGAGACAGAGATATGTTAAGTATATTCTTGGCTACATAGTAGGTTACTTATTTCTGGGGTGTCTCATAAGAGACCCAAAGGAAGAGAAGAAAGAAGATGGTAAAGGCTGTGGAGTATGGTTTAGTCACATGTTCAGGAGTACCCTACTTTCACTCTATGTAAATATTGAAAAGATATGGGACTCCAGAAGCATGTGGTATTCCCACTATGGGAGCTCCCTCCTTCAAAGATCATGACCCATTCAGTAAGTGGCTAAGTCCCAGCAAGTTGCCCTTGACAACACATGGATGTTGAGCCTTGCTCAGTCGTGTGTCAAGGGGAGGGGGAGTTTCTTCATTCAGAGTTGTAGAAAACTGGAGTGGTTGAATAGTCCAATGCTTCCATGTCACGGATTAGAAAATTAAGACTCAATGAGGTTAGGTGACGTCCCCAAGACCAGGCAATGGGAAGAAATAGACTAGAGCAGACTTCTTTCTGATTTCAAGCCCTGCATGCCACCCTCTAAATCATTGATGTCAAATTCATATAAAAATGAGTCCTGCTGGCTACATATTGACTTAGAAAGCCACAGATGAACATTATCTATGTTGCACTGTATTTTTATTTATTTTGTCAAATAATTTACATTACATCTTAATCTAGTTCTGGCTCCACTCATGAGTTTGACCCCTCTGCTCTAGGGTGCCCTGCTTCTTCTCTACTATTCCACCTGGTTCTAATCGAATATTCCCTGAGATAAGTTAATGGAGAGATTAACTGCTGTCTGAAACATATGGTCATGTACCCCAGAGGCACTTTCTAAATCAGTGGCCTCACGCAGACAGCCCTGAGCACGAAGCCTGGTCTTGCCAAAGTCTGTTTTGTGACTTCCTGCAAATGCCTACCCCCACTCTTCTTTGACTCACTTTCCATATACAAAATTGGGACCCTCATCTCAACAGGGGGAAATAGCAGAATCACACATAAGAAGTGTTAATTAGGTGTTGGTGTTGTCAGAAGACTGTTTATTCAAATAGAAACTGACAATTCTTTTTCACCTTTGGAACACTTGCCAGGTCTACCCAAGGATGAGCTTTCTTTATTGTTAAGACTTGGAATCTAGGGCAAATGCTTCTTTTTCCTTCTTATTCCCCCTTCAGGTAGCCTCATTTTCATACCTCTGAATCACAAAGAACCTCCAAAGCTGCTTCTTTGATAACCCTAATTCTGAGCTCTTCAGTGGGGGTCAACTGGCAGCTGTTGGTTTCCCTTCAAGTGATCTTCATTACTACTATGAAAGGACATTTGCGTGGGGGAAAGCACAATGTCGGCAGCACTGTATTCTACTGATGGGAAAATTCAAGCAACCACAAGTCAGTGATTGCTGGCCTGAAATGGTCAAGGGTTCCAAATGGGCATTAGTTGTGTTGGGAAAGGTCTACTTTCACAATGCAGGGGACTTTGACCAATCAGAACATATATTTAGAGCTGGAAACCATTTCCCCTCATTTTACAAATGAGGAAACTGAGACCAATAGAGTTTAAGTAACTTGTGCAATCATATAGCTAGTAAGTTTCTGAGGCAGAATTTGAACACAGATCTTCCTGACCCCAGGTTCAGCACACATCACTACTCTACACTCTCTCAGTGAGTGCTTGGTGAATTATAGGGTGTAAATTCATGGAAGGGAGGACTTTTTCATCTTGAAATTCCTGCCTCCCATTGTCCCTGGCATGAAGTAGGACTTTTTGAATTGTTGTTGAATGCAATGTTCTGGTTAAATGGGATTGCACTCAGTGTTGAAGAAATGAAATAGCTCAGTTGACTTTTGGTCTTTGCTGAGTACAGTGAATGCAAGAGGCCCCTTCTTTGGTTATTGGAGAGACAGCAGGGTCCAAGGATTCTCATTCTGGTGTCTATTCTCTTATATGAGACTGTGAGATTTAGAAGGTGCAAGAGATAGGGTCTGATGTGTGCTGCACCCATCCAGAACTTGAAGAGGTCTTTCGTGGTGTGTGTTAGTTTGAGCTGAGCTCCTAATAGTACTTTGTTATTGCTACCACTTGGATCTTTTTTCTAAAACAACCACTCAAAGAACTCATTTGGTTCAAATGAAGAATCTTGCTCAGCTTTGACTCTAATCCCATTCTTAACTTTTCATTAGAGTCCCTCATTTACGGATCTGTGCTTCCCATCCCCTCCCCCAACTAATGAATCTGTGTTTCCTGCCTGCTTCTGGCCCCAGTTTTTCTCATCTATTAAGGAATATGTTGGAAGTCAAGTTGATGACATTTAGAGAGGAAATTCCATTTTCATGCAAGTGTTTAGCCCGCATAGCACAAAGAAGCCCTGATCAAGTGGATGAGATCTGGTTCAGCACAGAAGCATTGGGGGAGTGGATCCAAACCAAAGATATTCCTTCAAATTTGTAAGTTCATTCCTCCCACATATGGAGATAGCTATGCAAATAACAGGCATTTGCCAAGAAGCAAGGACAATATTTCAATATCATTCAAGCCTGTAGGCAAATATATCATCAAAGGTGATTGAGACTTGCTGAAATCAGCATGAACCTGTCCCTCTTTAGCTGCCCACTTCCACAGAATAAATAGTCTCTATTTTCTAATTTATATGGTAGCCTGAATAAAAAGCAGGGGATCAAAAACTAGAGGCATCTGTCTCTAAAGCTGGTCCTATATTATGTTAACCTGGTGATAAATAGCAATACTTTCCATGTTTGTTAAAAAATAAAATTAGCAGTGGTGGGAATAAGATTAGCTTTTAAAGTATGCATTTCTACACTGGATTCAAATCTCACATTTCTCTAGCAGGCAGCATTTCTTTTCAGACCATAAAAATTCATGCACACATATATAATGTGTGTATGTATACATTGCATATACATGCACACATACACATATGTGTGTGCACATATACATACACTGACACAGGGATACATATGTATATATTTTTATATATTCATGTGTATAGATCTGAATCTTTATCTTTTCCCTTAGAATGTATGAATCACAGGAAAACCTATTATAGATTGCCTTTGAGATTTGTTGAGTTGCATTCTAAAAATCTTGATGCAAGAATGAAGTCAAATTAAATGTGGCTTTTAACTGTTTCCCTGATTCAAGGCTTTGGGAATGAGTCCATGGTCTCAAGGGGCAGTCAGAAGAATAAAAGCAAATAAATTCTTCCTTAAATGAAGAAGGGAGAATGCTCTCCAAGGTCCTAGTTGTCACTAGTCAGCTTCTGTGTATGGTGATATGCTCGGCAGAGCTTCTGTGGATTGCTCTTTGGCTGGGGTTACATTGGAAAGCATGGCATCAAGTTTCATTCATACTGGAGT